CAACAGGTCGAGGCTACGGTGGCCAGGAACGGCCACTGCACTCCAGTCTGGGTGACAGAGTGAGACTCCAACTCAAAAAAAAAAAAAAATAAAGATCAGTACACTACTTTTCAGTCCAGTGTGAGAGAGCTCAAGGAGCCATGTGAGTGTCGGGGGTCTTTTCCTTCCAGCTCCCTTTCTGATCTCCCTAGGGGAGAACATCACTCTTGGGTGGTGATCTCTCATGAATTTAATCCAAATGGAGCTGGAAACCCCCAGGGTGGGGGGCCAGATGGCAGATGAGCTCCATTCTAGAGCCAGTAATCTCAGGAGAGACTCGGGAAGAGGAGCAGCTGACAGGGTGGAGGGAATGACAGCCTGTGTGGTTTACGTATTCCTGCCTAGAGGATTCTCAAGGTCAGCTGATAGGTGAAGGAAAGTAAAGGAGATAGCCACCTACAGGGAGATACTTAGAACTGGGGTCCAGATTGTCCTTCCAAGAGGAGGGGTTGGGCTGAGAGAAAAGTGTTGATGGATTAAGCAACCAGGTTTAGAGTCACACAGAGGGATCATGGCTAAAGCAAGGATCAGAGTCAGGAATTTGCTGCCAATAGAGACCGTAGGCTTTGAAGTCAGAGATCCTGGGTCTGTAGAACTTGCCTCTTAACCTGTGATCCTCTTGTCTGGACAGGTGCTGTTATCCTATCACTGCATACCCCATCCATGTCATGCTTTTGCAGTGTGGGCAAACCTTTGTAATGACAGTATACCATAGTGGAAGGTATCATCTAGGTAACTAATGGACTAATATTGATCATATGCAAAATTTAAAGAAAAAATATGACTACAAGGAGATGATGGGAAGAGAAAGAGTAATGACCGGGCCAGTCTCCCAAGAGTATCAGGAGCAATCTTCCCTTTCATAGAACCTTTCTTTTGATCAAAGGGGAACAAGCAAGAATTCCATAGGGCTTAGGAACACTTTTGTTTATGTTCCTCCAGATTTTTAAATGAAAATATATATATATACAGATAAACATATATGTATCTTATACACAATTTGGACCATATAAAATTAGAACCTACTTTTAAAGATTTTTCCCATGTCAAATACAACACTGCATCAATATTTTTAAATTTTAATAATTTTAATTTTATTAATTATCATTTTTTTCTTATTTCCTTCTAACATTTTATTGGGAAAATTTACCAGAGTTGAAAGAATAGTTTAAGCTAGGTGTGATGGCTCAAGCCATAATTCCAGCACTTTGGAAGGCTAAGGTGAGAGGATCACTTGAGGACAGGATTTCAAGGCTAGCCTTGGCAACATAGTGAGACAGCAAACAAACAAACAAACACATAAACAGAAATTAGAACTAATAAATGAATTCAGCAAAGTTTTTGGATACAAGATCAACATATAAAAATCGTGGTGTTTCTAAACACTGGCAATGAAAAATCCAAAAAGGAAATTAAGACAATTCCTTAAAAAAAAGAATAATACACAGCCATATGACTTCTTCCACCTGGTTCAGTAATTGTTAACATATTAGCATACTTGTTCAGTAATTGTTAACACATTAGTGTCAGCATGTGACAATATCTGGTCTTATGGAAACAGCATAGGCTGATAGTCTAGAGTGTGGAGACCATCTGCTTGGGTTCTGAACCAGGTTTACTGTTTTTTATTGTGTGACTTGACCTTGGGCAAGATCCTTAAAATTTTCTAAGCCTGTTTCCTCAACTATAAAACAGGGTGTCGTTTCCTCAGGCATTTCAGGGGACTAAATGGAATAATGTTCAACATATAATAAATGCGCAATAAATATTAGGTACTTGTTGTATCTCCTCATTTAGCCCAGAAGATAGGGGCAATATCTTCACTGGTTTCACCTTACCTCCATGGCCATTAACCTTAAGTGGGCCCTTTGTGCTGTCTAGCAATCCTCTAGCAATCCTGCTCCTTTTTTTTAATTGACAGAGGGTCTTGCTATGCTGCCCAAACTGGTCTTGACCTACTGGGCTCAAGCAATTCTCATGCTTCGGCCTCCATCTCACCAGTTAATTCACTCTCTTACTTTCTTTGATAATTATTTCGCTCATTCTCCTCAAACCTTTCTCATTTCCTGTCCCTTCTTTACGCCCTGCTGACAACTGTCCTTCTTGTTTCCCTGAGAAAATAGAAACAATTAGAAGAAAGTTGTTATAAATCCCCTCTGCATCTGCCACCGTGCTTGTGTCTACACTTTCTAGTACTGCAGGTAAACTGTCCCTCTTGCTATCCAAGGTCTCCCTCTACCCATGCGCTACATCTGTTTCCTCCTGCCTATTCACGACATCACTTTGGTAATTATCTCCTCATGATCCTGCATCATCAGTTCTTTTTCTTCTCGACTAACTACTTCCTGGAAGCATTTAAATACATTAACTCTCCCATCTTACCAAGCACTCTCTCATGACTCCACGTTCATCTCCAACTACTGTCCAGTTCCTCTGCTGTCCTTTAAAGAAAAACTCTTTGATAGAGTGCCCTGGAGTCAAAAATCCACCAGCAGATCTAGTTGTTTTATCAGGAAACTTGTCTCAAGTCTGAATGCTTCCTACTCCCTCCGTCACAACCACCCCTCTCCAAGCCCCATCATCTTGCCTGTCCCACTGCAAGACCCTCCTGTTTCCTCCAGTTCTTTTTTGTTTATTTTATTTTATTTTTTTGAGTTGGAGTCTCACTCTGTCGCCCAGACTGGAGTGCAGTGGCCGCTCCCGGCCACCGCAGCCTCCACCTGCTGGGCTCCAGCGATCCTTCTGCCTCAGCCTTCCAAGTAGCTGGAACTACAGCAGCGCTATCCTCCAGTTCTTTTCTTGCCTCACTATAGACTATTCTCTACATATAAATCAGAACAGTCCGTTAAAAACATGTCAGATTGTGTTTCCCTCTGCCCCCAAACCTGTAATGCTTTTCCCTTGTCCAAAGACACACATTCTGGCTGCTCATACAACCCTCTTTCCTATACCCTCTCCCTTACTTAGCTCCAGCTTTGATGGTTTTCTTGCTCTTCCATGAACATACCAGGCACAAACCCTCCTTGGGGACTTTCTACTTTATATTTCATCTGCCCAGAAGGATCTTCTCTCAGACTTTCACATGGCTTGTTCTTATATGTCATTAAAGCCTCTACTTAAATGTCAGTCTTTGGAAAGAACTTCCCAGACTACTCTGTTTTCTTTTATGGCATTTGTCACTAACTGATGTATCTGTTTAATGAATGCAGGGACTTTATTTTGCTGAGGGCTATGTGCCCAATTCTTGAAAAATACTTGGCTTGTATTAGGCACTGACATGTTTGTTGAATGAACCTTTTGTTTCTCTTATACCTTTTGAGTATATTTAACAGTGCTGAACACAAGTAAATGCTTGGTAAGTATCAGAATGGGGTGGAAACAGCATAATCTACAGAACATAAATTAGATTCCATTAGCTTTTTAAAGCAGAACCCATACATCTGACAGTCATTCAACAAAAGTTTTATTTGTAAAATGCAGGGTAAAACCCATATACTCCATCAAGCTGCTTTAAGCATTAGGTGTGAAAACGTTTCTGAAAGCCCCATGTCTTGTACTTTGTTAAACATGAAGTCCTCACAATTGTGGCTTTAAGGGCACTTCGTATGGGACTGACTCTCTCAAGACGAACTGTATCTTGAGACCAGTGAATGTCCAGATGAAGCAGTTTTAGTAATAGATTCTGAGGAAGGAGTGTTATTAGTATGATTTTTTTTTCAAGAGTCATGGTCTCGCTATGTCTTGCCAGGCTGGCCTTGAACTATTGGGCTCAAGGGATCCTCCCGAGTAGCTGGGACTCCAAGTGTGCACCACTGCATTTGGCCTTACTATTATGTTTAATCTAACTCTCCATCTGAGTAGAGAAGGGGAAGAGCATTCTTACCAGCCTATTAGTCTTGCTTCAAATTCATGACCTCCTGAGGGGCCTTTATGTCTCCCAGGAATCCTATTCCTGTCCACTTACTCTCTTAGGTGAGTATTTCATACCTTCTCTTCCCCCTCCTTCCTTTAATACCTCTTTCCTCATCATCTTGGATGGTGACCATGTTACCTGTTTTCCTTCAACAACAGAAACAATTGGGGAAACTCTCTGAATGTTCCCACCTGCTTGCATCTGGGCCCATATGCTCTGTCCTCCTGCAACGTCTGGGATGATCTGTTCTAGCTCTGATTCGAGACTGCCTCTCTAGCTATGCCCTAGAGCTCACTCCCTCTCCTACTCCAGTAATGATCTTTTTTCTCTCCTACCGTTTTTCCTTCTCTACTGGATCATGTCCATAAACACAAACATTCTGTAATTTCCTCTGTCACATCCAATCCAATCCTTACTACCTCGCTCCCCTGCCTTTCTCTATAACCCTTATCATCATCAACATAGTCATTGCATGTGTCTATTTATTTGTGTGTGTGTGCATTAGAATATAAGCTCCATGAGGGCAGTTTTTTTGGTCTGTTCTGTTCTCTGCAGTTTCCCTAGCACCAATAAATCATTGTTGGATGAATTTTGATGATGACCTTTCTTGTGCTCTCTGATCTTAAGACCTACTTCCTTTGTTTTTGTTTTTGTTTTTGGAGTCTCACTCTGTTGCCCAGACTGGAGTGCAGTGGCACACTCCTGGCCACCGCAGCCTCGACCTGCTGGGCATTCCGGCGATCCTTCCACCTCAGCCTTCCAAGTAGCCAGAACTACAGGCACGCGCTACCACACCCGGCTAATTTTTTATTTATTGTAGAGACGAGGTCTTGCCAAGTTGCCCAGGTGGCTCTCGAACCCGTGGGCTCAGGCAATTCACTCGCCTCGGCCTCCCAAAGTGCTGGGATTACAGGCTGAGCCACTGAGCCCGGCCAAGACCTACTTCTTCAAAAGACTAAGGGAATGTACTTGGTGATAGGAGGGCTTGAGAGTATCTAAGAGGTCTGAGGCAGTAGCACTTCCATAAATATCTCATATTCTGATTCTTTTTCAGCTTAACACCAAAACAGCCCCAGCAACCAACCAGGCATCTGGCCTAGAAGAAAAAGGTGAGTGGGGGTAGCTGAGGCAGTTTGTAAAGTAGGTGAATGTAAGGCTGTGAAGACAAGGAGGGTAAGTCTGGAAGTTTCTAAAATCAGCAATGAAATGAATAAGAATATGGATAAGTGAGACAGAAGACTAGGTTGGAACAACCAAGTTGGAACCACTTCTTCCTAGTAAATAAACCTACTAGTATTGACTCTTTGATTTTAGAAACTGGGCCTGGAGTGGTTGAGGGCGGCTGGTGCGATGATAAGAGGAAACTCATCAGATAATCCCAGCGACTGCCTTCATCAGAAATTGAGGGAAAGCTGGGAAAGTGGGTGTGCGTTGGGACCTGAACTGGAGGGTTAAGCATAAGTAATGACAAGCCATTTGTGTGTTGGTCCAAGAGCAGCAAAACTCCCCTGAGTGACTAGAGCCATTCCCAGCCTGGGTACCCTGCGTCAAACTGCGAGGAGAATGATCAGGCCTTCACAGTCCTAGTGAAGCCTGGGAGACCCCAAGAATCCAGCATAAAGGGGACCTTAACCACTTGGGGCCTGGAGAAAAGGGCGGGGGCAGGGCAGGGTATCTCATTCATGAGTGTCCCGACTCTCTGCAGGAAAAGCTGGCAATGCCAAGAAGGCAGAGGAGGAGGAGGAGATTGACATTGATCTGACAGCACCAGAGACAGAGAAGGCTGCTCTTGCTATTCAGGGCAAATTCCGCCGATTTCAGAAAAGAAAAAAGGACCCCAGCTCCTGAATGGCCTTGCCCTTCACCTTGCTCCCTTTTCTCCCCTTTCCCACAGCCCTGACTCCCCTGTGTCTTTGTTCCTTTGTTCCTCTGGCCTCTCATTGGAGGCAGGTTCAACCCTTCTATATTCTTTTCTCTGGCCCCCTCAAGCCATCACAGCAGTAGAGGCACAAAGAATGTGGAAGATACGTGGAAGATGAAGACTTCAGTTGGCAGCCAGTTGCCTGAGGGTGGACCAATTTCTCCCTGGGATAAGGCTCCTTGATCAGAACCTATACTTCCCTGTGGAGTTGAAGAAGAGGCTTTGAGGTTGAGAGACCCCCCCCAACACCACAGTGTGGGAGGGAGGGGACAGCCTTTAGTAGGGTGCCTGAGGGTAGGACACATGCACGGCTTGCCAGTTGCAACATTCACACTTCAGGTCACATTTTCCCCTGCAGATCCTTCTCACCACTGCCCCCAACTTCCCCTCCCAGGATCTAAGCCTCAGGGGGCACTGCAGCCTCCCCCCCACTCCGCCTCTGCCCCCAGGCAGACCTGAGTCAAGCTGCTTGCCACAGTAGTGCATGCTGAGTAGGTCAGTTCCAAGGAAGGGAAACGGACTGGCAGTGGCAAGGAAAAGTCTCCCTCATCGTCTAGTCCAGGACCATAGGGGACAGAGACAGAGCAGTTCTGGGGTTGCAGGTGGGGGACTGAAAAGTGGGGTGGTTTAGGGAGGAAAGAAAAGGAAGAGGGGGAAGTCGCTGAAGCCACAAGCTGCTGCTGTAAAAGTGTACCACGTGAAGGGTTCTTGGGGCTTTGCTAACTTGCCTGCCTCTAATTCCCCGAGTCCAGCTGTCCCGGAGGCCACACAAAACAAGTGACCCCTGTAGTTCCCACTCGCTGCACTGTAGAGTCAGGGCAGAAATGGAATAGCTACCCTGTGATTTTAGCATGTTTAATAATTAAAACAATAAAAAGCCCCTCAAATGGGGTCATTTAACCTCTGCTACTGTTTTTTCTTGGGAGAAACATGAATGTGCGTCTGAGCTGGTCCTGGGAAGGTGTAGGGCAACTGCACGGATCCCATGGTTTAACAGGAACTAGCACCATCTGAGCAACTTGCAGACTGAAGCCAACACTGCCTTCTTTCCCGCGACCTTGCCCTCACCTTGATTTGCTGCCCACGTTGTCTCTTGCTGCTGTCACCACCTCCAGTGTGCGCCTGCAAGGGCACTCATCCTCGCCTACTCCTTCCACTGAGAGCATGCTTGGTACTTATTCCTCTGAAAACAAACCTTGTCTTCCTCACGCCCTATTCCCAAATGACCTACCCCAGATTTCCTTCCTGCTTTGTCTTCCTCCCACACCACTGCCCCCCACCCCCAACTGCTTATCAAACACGAGGGAAAGAGAAGACTCTGTTCACTAGAGAGCACCACTGTTACACCGAAGACTTTAAACCATGGGTTAAAGAAAATAACGACTTTCCAGTGAGTTTGCATTGCGGAGAAGTGACCTCTATACATTGAAACCAGAAGTCAAATGTTTGAAGACTGAACAAAGAATGATCTATCTCAGCCACCCCTCTCGCTTTTTTTCTTTTTCAATTGTTTTTATCGTGGTAAAATACACATAACATAAACTTTACCATCATGACCTTTTTTAAGTGCACAGTTCAGTGGCATTAAATATGTTCATAATATCGTACAACCATCACCACTATCAATCTCTGTTCATCTTGTGAAACTGACACACTATACACTTCAAACAATAACTCACCAACTCCCCTCTTCCCAGCCTCTGGCATCCGCTTTCTATCTCTGTGATTTCCCCTTACTTCTTGGTACTTACCTTCTTTTCATGATTTAAGAACATAGAAGTCAGCTAGACACAGTGGGTCAAGTCTGTAATCCTAGTGCTTTGGGAGGCCAAGAGTTTGAAATCAGCCTGGACAACACAGTGAGACCCTGTTTATACACAGAATTAACTGGGTGTGGTGGTGCATGCCTGTAGTCCCAGCTACTCAGGAGGCTGAGGTGGGAGAATCGCTAGAGCCCAGGAACTTGAGGTTGTAGTGAGCTGTGATTGTACCACAGTACTTCAGCATGGGTGACAGAAGAGCAAGACTCTGTCTCTAAGTGAAATAAAACAAAGAACATAGAAGTCGAGACTATGTAGCAGCTATGAAGCAAGGAGCCAGGCGCAGTGGCTGATGCCATCACTTTGGGAACCTGAGGCAGTAGGATTACTTGAGGCTAAGAGTTCAAGACCAGCCTGAGCAAAATAGCAAGACCCTGTCCCCACAAAATAAAATAAAATTGAAATAAGGGACAATATCCCTGAAATGCAATCTATATCCCAAAGTTTCCTAGCAAGCCTATGGTCATAGATCATTAGGAGAATTGAACAGTAATTTATGGGAAAGCCCTACGTTAAAGGAAGTACCTCCTCCTCCTGTCACCATGGAAAAGAGGGAATTCTATGGTTACATTTGGAGCCTGTTCAAGTATAGTATTAATGGTGGCCCTGAGTCCTGGCCTCATAGGCAAATACAAGGATAACCTAATTGCCACACCTGTTACGTGTCTAGTGTGTCCTGACAGAGTAGCAGTATTTCCTGTGTCTTCACTCCACCGACACAAGAGGAGAATTGGTGCTATACCTTGCTCTGCCCCTGTGGGCACTATAGTCAGGCAGGTGCTCTCTGTTCCTGTGATGTGAGCTTTTGTGACTGGTGCTAGAGCAGTGGTGAGTTTCTCTGCCGCCAGCCCCTCTCCTGTAGGCTCTGCTGCTTGGGGAATATCTGCTGACGTGTTTTTGCCACACTGATCCGGAGCATAGCACTGACATGATTTTTCTCTTTACCATCTCTTGCTTCAAAAGTGTTATGCTTGTCATATGTATTTTTAATAAAGAGCGTGGCAGCAAAAACACAGTCATAGCTTTGGGAAAGATAGTTTTGATAGAAAGAGAGACATGGGTGTCTTTTGCTGAGCCAATAAAGGTTCTGAAAGCTGATTCCTCTCTGCCAGTCTGCTTATTCCTACCATGGGCACTCAAGTCGAGTCTCTTCTCCCTGGTAGGCCTGTAACTCCTCCTGGGGGCCCAGGCTTAGCTGGGGTCCCCTTCTTGGGGGTCCAGAACCCTGCTTCTCTTCCCTGTCCCTCTAGCACCTATGACTGGGGAATGAACGCTCAAGTACTCATCACTCAAAAGTTATTCTTGAGTGCTTTGTTTTGTGGAGCAAAAACCACAGGTCTTGGGGGGGGAATTGGTGAATGCCATTATAAACGGCTCAGCAGTAGAGATAGGTGTAAGAAGCAGTTAAGGAAAAAAACTAAAAAGACAAAACTCTGCTTTCATTATACTCAACACCTCTGACCCCCAATGTGTGAGTCTTTCCCTCACATCAAACAATTTTCCAACTCTCCAGACATTAACTGGGTGTCCTACAATTTAATTATGACACTACCTGGACCACTTACAGGTCTCCTATGACCCCTTCCTTGGGTCAATAATTTTCTAGGCTGGCTCAGGAAAGTCCTCTACTTACTGTTATCAATTTATTATAAAGGATATAGCTCGGGAACAAGCACATGGAAGGGACACATAGGGAAAGACATGGGGTTGACGGTGCATGGAGCTTCCACACCCTCTCTGGGTGCACCAGCCTCTCAGCACCTCAGTGTGTCACCGACCCTGAAGTGCTATGAATCCCAAACCCCTTTGTTTAGGGTTTTTATGGAGGTTTCATTATGTAGTACAACTAATTAAATCATTGACCACTGGTGATTAAGTCCATCTCCAGCCCCTCTGAAGGTCAGGGGGTGGGGCTAAAAGTTCCAATCCTCTAATAATGTGGTTAGTTTCTCTGGCAACCAGTTTCTTATCCTCCAAGTTACCTCACTAGCATAAATGACGTAAGATTGAAAGGGGCTTATTATGAATAACAAAAGATGCTCCCTTCACTCTTATCACTCAAGAAATTCTTTAAAACTTTTCTTAAATTAATTTTTTCTTCTAGGGATGGGGTCTCACTATATTGCCTAGGCTAGAGTGCAGTGGCTATTCACAGGTGCAATCATAGCGCACGACAGCCTCAAACTCCTGAACTCAATCCATCCTGCCACCTCAGCCTACCAAGTAGCTGAGACTACAGGCACGTGCCACTGCACCTGGCTCACTTGGGAAATTCTAAGAGTTTTTGGAGCTCTTTGCCAGGACCCACTGTGCCAGAACTGGAGGAGGAAGACCAAATATATACTTCTTATTATATCACAATATAACATTCATATCACCGATATCTCTTTTGGTGCTTGCTCAATCGCGTGGGGGTGGCAGAGCTGTGATGATAGTCCTGAGAAACATGGGAGAGGTCTGGTGATCTGAGCAGGGGATTTACTTTCAAATATGTTCCCAAAGCCCAAATTTGGAGAGAAGTGCTTGGGGGCAATTCAGGCAGCTAAAGGTACAGGATTCAGCTCCCTGGGCGGCCTCGCAATTCTATTTTCAGAAACTTGGTGTTGTTCTGCTGGGTAGCACCCTTGACCTCCCCTCGATCTTGCCCTAATACAGAACCAGCTTTCCCCTCTTCCATCTCTTCCATCTCCTCTTGCAATTTATCCCTGCCCGAATGTCCTTTTTGGGAGCTGCCCTCCCTGCCTGGCTCTTTGCCTTTCTTTCCACCCCTTACCCTCTTGCCCTTACAGAGTTGCCCTTATTTCTGGAATTGTTTGCAGTGAGGATGGTTCCTGGCAGCTCCCCTGTCCCTGCTGTGCTCAGTCCCTGGGAACCAGCCCTCATTGGAATCACTCTGCCAGTGAGCTGCTGTCTTCCTGTTCTTCATCTTCTCTGCAAATGTAACTCCTCTGCTATGTCTCTCAAAACCAAGGATTTGGGGTCAGGAGGTTTGTTTCTTATTTATTAGTTTATTTATTTATTTATTTGAGTTGGAATCTCACTCCATCGCCCAGGCTGGAGTGCCATGGCACATTCGGGGCCACTCCATCGTCGACCTGCCGGGCTCCAGCGATCCTTCCGCCTCAGCCTTTCAAGTAGCCAGAACTATAGACGCGCACTACCATGCCCGGCTAATGCTTTGATTTATTGTAGAGACGAGGTCTCACCAAGTTGTCTGGGTGGGTCTTGAACCCGTGGGCTCAGGCAATCCACTTGCCTCGGCCTCCCAAAGTGCTGGGATTACAGGCTGAGCCACGAAGCCTGGCCTTTTTTTATTTTTTAATTGTAGAGATGAGGTCTAGCCAAGTTGCGTGGGCTGGTCTCGAACCCGCGAGTTCAGGCAGTCCACTCGCCTCGGCCTCCCAAAGTGCTGGGATTACAGGCTGAACCACCAAGCCTGACTCTCAGTTTTCTTAATCTTACAGATGATTAGCACCATCGATTAATGAATACATTTCCTTGGGGTATAAAATGCAGGACAGGCTGCTTTCTGGGGCCCCTCAGCTGCAGTGCAAGTTGGGTACATGTAGACAAAATTTCATCCACTCTAGGGAGCTTTCCTGAGGCTTGGGGGACCAGCTGACCCTGACTCCCTCTTCTGTTGTCCCTTGCTACCTATTTGTAAGTAACACACCCACTTCCTGTAACTTGTGTGTGAGAGTGTTCTATCTGAATGGTCTCAGGTGAGTAGTAAAAGTGTGGCTCAAGTTGTAGTGGGCTGAAGTGTAGCCAATGCACAGTGTATCTATTTGCAATTATGTTATATAGTAGTCACAGTAATCCTATGCAGTATCAACCGCAGTTATGGTAGGCAAGGAGATGCTTGAAGGGCTTGTTGGTTTTATTTTTTAGTTGGGGTCTCACTCTGTCGCCCAGACTGCAGTGCAGTGGCCGCTCCCGGTCACTGCAGCCTCGACCTGCTGGGCTCCGGGGATCCTTCCGCCTCAGCCTTCCACGTAGCTGGAACTACAGGTGTGTGCTACCACACCCGGCTGATTTTTTTGATTTATTGTAGAGATGAGGTCTCGCCAAGTTGCCCAGGCAGG